GCCTTTATAGTGGGGGCTAGTCCTTGACCTTTCCCTGGGCTCCTTGTTGGTCCATAAAGAACACCTTCTCAGAGTGATAAAGGAACCTTTGCAAGGGGTGAATTTCCCCGACACGGCCAAGTTTCTTTGCCTCCGTCAAGAGGTTGGGGGGCACTTCAGGCTTTTGCTAAGATTTTAAGTGTGACATAGAATTTTGTTTCCCGGGGGACGGGGGTACTAGAAACCAAAAAGACCCCCGAAATTTTTTTTTGAAGGAGCCGGCATGGGAACCAAGGGTTTTTTCCATTTTGAAAAGCCTAGGTGTGCAGGCCCAGAAGTGAGGGGGGGGCGTCTTGGGGACCCGAAGAAGGTTTTTTTTTTTTCATTTTTGGCCGAAAAGGAAATCAGGGGGCCCGGGCCGCGGCCCCCCTTGGCTAATTCTCCCCCTTGCGGGGTCGGCACCCCGGGTTCTAGTCCCAGTTGGGGCGCCGGATTCTGTCCCGGTTGCCCCTCTTCCAGGCCAGCTCTCTGCTGTGGCCCGGGAGGGCAGTGGAGGACGGCCCAAGTGCTTGGGCCCTGCACCCCATGGGAGACCAGGAAGAAGCACCTGGCTCCTGGCTTCAGACTGGAGCAGTGCGCCGGCCGTAGTGGCCATTTGGGGAGTGAACCAACGGAAGGAAGACCTTTCACTCTCTCTCTCTCACTGTCTAACTCTTCCTGTCAAAAAAAAAATTATTTATTTATTTGAAAGACACACTCACACACATCGATTTTCCACCTACTGGTTCATTTCCCAAATGGCTGCAACAGCCTGGGCTGAGCCAGACTGATATCAGGAGCCTGGAATTCCATCTGGGTCTCCCATGTGGGTGGCAGGGGCCCAAATATTTGGGCCATTTTGCACTTGGCCCAACAGGATGAAAAGGCAGAGCAGAGGAGAGATGAACCTGGCTTTGAATTTCAGCCTCACCCTGGAATAGCTACGTGACCTTGGGCACGTTGCTTAACTTCTCTGAACCCAGTCTCCTCGTGAGTAAAACGGGGGCTTACAAAGGTACCTGTATCTCACAGAATCATCCTGCTGATGAACTGAGATAATGCATAGGACGTGCTTACTACAGCGTCAGACACACAGCTAGGAGTCAGTAAATGGTAACTGAAACAATAATCGCCATATGTTTTTATTAAGCAACAACAAAATTACCTAATTTGTAATAAATATATTAGGAAATAACTATGGTAATTATCATTAGCATTATTTAAAGCCTGCAAGCTGAGTCACTTTTTCATGTAGTAATCTACTGTGGACTACTGCCAAACCAGAGCGGTGGTTCCTCCCAGACGGAGGTGCTGGAGTGCCCATCTCGGTGTCATACTTCCCAAGCTACCACTTTGTCTTACTCCATCCCACTTGAGCCTGATGGTAACCGTGTAAGGTGCATAGAGTCGCTTCTCAAAATGTGTCCGTTACCATTTCACAGAGGTGGAAACTGAGGGACAAAAAGCACTGAATGACTTACCCAGGTCTAAGCAGCCAGTACCCGAGCCAGCGTGCCACCGGAACACAATCTGCTGCTCCCTTTCCCCACCTCTTTCACACCTGGCCCTGCTCCCCTAGGAAAGTCTGACCCTGAGAACAGCGGCTGATGGGCTGCGGTTTGGAGTGACTTTATATTCAACAGCTCTCTCCCTCAGAGTCATCTGCACAGTAACCCCCTCGCAGCTGAGAAGTCCTCAGGTAGGTGGGTTCCCGCGCGTTTCTGAGGGAGAATTCCACTCGGTTCTACTCAAGAGAAGTTAGCGAAGGGAAGGCTAAGAGAACCAATAAGGGTGATGCGGCACGAAGGGACCCGCGGCATTTGAGGTGTGAAGGCGTAGGAGAGGGAGAATGAAACCAGCGTCCAGTGAGGCTGGCCGTGCCAGTGAGGGACCGCCAGAAGGGGATGTTGTGATAGAGGGCCTGCGACTGCCAGGATGGCGGTTCTACACACGGAAGTGGGCAAAGAAATACCCTATCAACGCTCCCTTCCGCCCACCCGCCCCTGTCTCCTGTCATTGGCTGAACCCGTCCGGAAGTCAACCGCAAAGGGTCATGGGAAATGTAGTCCACGGAGACCGGCCCCCGAGGTCTTAGAGCATGCAGGGAAAGGGTTTTAAGGGGGAGGAGGTTGAGGGAGCATCACTGCGCAAAGAGGGATGGGGTGGTGATTTCACGGGGCAAAGGGAGAAGCAATAGCACAGTAGTGCGCTGGGCTCTCTTGGCGTGAACTCTGCCATTAATTGTGGCCTGAAAATGCACTGATTTGGCCCCTGGGTTCTTGGTGCTTGTTTCAAAAGCAACCAATTCTACTGGGTAAGTTGGCAGCACTGAGAACGGGGCGGTCGGGAGGAGATAGTCTTGAAAGATTATTGAGTCTGAAGGAGGTGAAAGGAATAGCCGGTGTTGATCTGGGCGGAGGGTGTCCAGGAAGAGGGAACTACTGGAATGAAGGCCCAGAGGCAGGAGTGTGCCTGGCGGGTTTGAGAAACAGCCAGGAGGCCAGTGTGGCTGGGAAGGAGAATGTGACGGGCTCGGGTCCGAGATGCGGTCAGGGAGGAGAGGTGGACAGGGTGGGCCACTGTATCTCAGAGGGAAATGGGAAACCATTGAGAGACTCAGTGCTGGGGAGGCGGGACCCATCAGCTGTGGCACAGAGAACACACTAGAGATGGAGGAGGGACGAGAGGCTTGGGCCTTAGAGAGCTGTCATTGCCTCCCTCCCTCCTACCCTTCCATCCTTTTTGTATGCAACCAACAGTGAGCATCTTCTCCTAACACCTGGTGTGGTCTTTATATTTTTTGTACACTCTTACAGGTGTGTAGAGGTAACCTGCTGTGCTCTTAATGCTCATTTCCCTAAGGACCAGTGAAATGAAGCATCTTTTTGTGTGCTTATTTGCTACCTATGTATCTTTGATTGAGTGTTTGCTCATATTCTTACCCATTTTAAAAATTGTGTTTTTCTTGTTCTTCTAATTGAGTTTTGAGAGTTCTTTCCTTGTTCTAGATACAAGTCATTTTTCAGATATGTAGTGGGCAAATATTTTTTTCTAGCCTGAAACTTGTTTCTTCATCCTCTTAAGTCTTTTGATGAACAAAAGTTCTATTGATATTTTTTCTCTTTTATGGATGTGGTTTTTTTATGGTGTTCTACCTGAGATATCTTTGCCTCACGTAATATAAAAAAGGTTTTTCTCTTGGTTTTTCTCCCAGAAGATTCAGTTTTAGGTTTTACATTTAGTCTACAATCCATTTTGGGTTAATTTTTTATGAGGTGTATATATTAACTGGATTTTTTGCATGTAGATATCCAACTGTTCCAGCACCATTATCTTTTCTCTACTGATTACTTTTCTACTTTTGTCAAAAATCACTTGACTGGGGCTGACATTGTGGCTCAACCAATCAAACTGCACCTGTGATCTCTGTATCCCATATGAGCTTCAGACTGAGTCTTGGCTGCTACACTTCCCATCCTCCTCCCTGCAAATGCTCCTGGGAAAGCAGTGGAGGATGGTCCAAGTCCTTGGGCCCCTGCATGCATGTGGGAGACCTGGATGAAGCTCCTATCTTTGGCCTGGCCCAGACCAGACCTTTGCAGTCATTTGGGAAGGGAATCAGCAGATGAAGATCTCTCTGTCTCTCTCCTGCTTTCTCTCCTGTTACTCTACCTTTCAAATAAATAAATAAATCTTTAAGGGAAAAAAATCACTTGACTCATATATATGTAGTTTTGTTTCTGGACTCTTTTGTTTTGTTGACCTATTTCTCTATTTGACCCTAGTGCTACACTATCTTGCTTGCTCGCTCTCTCTCTCTCACTTAAAGATTTATTTTATTTATTTGTAAGACAGTTCCAGAGAGAGGGAGAGGGAGAGAGGGGTCTTCTGTTTGCTGTTTTACTCCCCAAATGGCCAGGCCTGGGCCAGGCTAAAGTCAGGAGCCTGGAGCATCTTCCAGGTCTCCCACATGGCTGCAGGGGCCCAAGCTGCTTTCCCAGGCCCATAAGCAGGGAGTTGGATCTGAAGTGGAGCAGCCAAGTGTCGAACCAGTACCCATATCATACGCTGGCATTGTAGGCAGAGGCTTAACCTATTATGCCACAATGCCAGCCCCTGAATAATATCTTTAAGATTGAATTTTTTTTTTTGACAGGCAGATTTAGACAGTGAGAGAGAGACAGAGAGAAAGGTCTTCCTTTTTGCTGTTGGTTCACCCTCCAATGGCCACTATGGCCGGCACTGCGCCCATCCAAAGCCAGGAGCCAGGTGCTTCTCCTGGTCTCCCATGCAGGTGCAGGGCCCAAACACTTGGGCCATCCTCCACTGCCCTCCCAGGCCACAGCAGAGAGCTGGACTGGAAGAGGGGCAACCGGGACAGAATCTGGTGCCCCGACCGGGACTAGAACCCGGGATGCCAGTGCCGCAGGCGGAGGATTAGCCAAGTGAGCCGCAGCGCCGGCCTAAGATTGAAATTTACTGGTGCTGGTGTTGTGGTGCAGTAGGTTAAGCCATTGCCTGTGATGCCAGCATCCCATATGAGCCCCGGTTCAAGTTTCAGCTGCTCCACTTATGATCCAACTCCCTACTAATGTGCCTGGAAAGGCAATGGAAGATGGCCCAAGGGCTTGGGCTCCTGCCACCCATGTGGGAGACCTGGATGGAGTTCTGGCTCCTGGCTTCGGCCTGCCTCAGCTCTGGCTATTTCAGCCATTTGGGGAGTAAACCAGCAAATGGAAGATCTCTCTATCTCTCTCTCTTTTTCTTTCCGTTTTCCCTCTCTGTAAATGCCTTTCAAATAAATAAAGGAAGAAATTTATTCCTTTGTCGGTTTGCATCCTCCGAGACAACATGAAGTTGGACATGAAGAAATTTATTTATTGGTGAAAAGGTCTATAACAGATCAAGGAGAGAAAACAGGAGAAGATAAGGAGAACTTTCAGACTGTGATACAGGTCTGACCCTTGGGAAATGAAGGAGGGAGGATGGGGGAGTAAGCATCTCACAAGGGATCACAGTTCTAATAAAATTTCAGCTGGCCTGATGAGGAGTCTTTGAGCCACAGTTGCCCATTAGATGCATCCCCTGGGGCAACTTCTCCCTGTACATAAAATAGATGAGCAGGTTGGCCGGCGCCGCGGCTCACTAGGCTAATCCTCCGCCTTGCGGCGCCAGCACACCGGGTTCTAGTCCGGGTCAGGGCGCCGGATTCTGTCCCGGTTGCCCCTCTTCCAGGTCAGCTCTCTGCTGTGGCCCGGGGAGTGCAGTGGAGGATGGCCCAAGTGCTTGGGCCCTGCACCCCATGGGAGACCAGGAGAAGTACCTGGCTCCTGCCATCAGATCAGCGCAGTGCGCCGGCCGCAGTGCGCCAGCCGCGGCAGCCATTGGAGGGTGAACCAACAGCAAAAGGAAGACCTTTCTCTCTGTCTCTCTCTCTCACTGTCCACTCTGCCTGTCAAAAAAATAAATTAAAAAAAAAATAGAAGAGCAGGTGCACCACTCACATCTTGTCCGTTGGGAAGATCGTTCCCTCTGCACTGTCTTCCAGCACATTCCCATGAAGGTGGTTACAATTCAGCCACTGTCCATTTTCTCCTTGTACTCACATTCCAAAACAGGCTGTTAGCCAAGCGCAAGCCTTTGATCCTTTTACAGGTGGTTATCACCCTCTCACCTGCAAGTGGTCATGTGTGATCAATTCTCTGCAGTGGACTGCATGACCTTGTTCCAGAACCCTGGGTCCTTCACTGAGTCTCCCACTGGGTCTCGCCTTAATCCTCTGCATCCTCTTCCACCACCGACAGCTCCAGTGCCATAGTCTGCTGAGTCACATGGCCTAACTGGCAGAGCCGTGCACACCAGAGTCTGGAACTACTGCAGAGCCCTTTCCTCTCCTCCTCCCCCTTGGGGCTGGCATCCACCTGTGTCACTGCGTAAACGGACATATTAATTATTCCCAAATATGATCTGCATCACTCTCAGAATCCAAAAAGGCCTACTACTAGCAGAGAGATAAAAAATGTGGTTGACAGGGCTGGGCCTCTCTGTTAACATCTCCAGAAATTCTACTCTGACCCCCACCTTCTGCATCCGAAGCATCAAAATGAAAGCCCTCCCCTGGAGTCCAGTGCCAGCCCACTGATGCTCATGCATGTCCCTTGCAGGGGAAGGTGACTGACCTCCACCCCAGGCTGGTCATCACAGCGTGTTTTCTAACCACGTCCAGTGAGTTTTCCCATCCTGCCCTCTGCTCTCTTCAGTCCCAATGGGGAGCAGACAGAGAGGTCCCCGGTTACCTACTGACCCTTGGCATGTCACACATCACTTTGGAAGCCAAGAGTGTGGCTGGTAGGCTGCACTCGAGCTTGATTTCATTCCTGTGCGGCCACTGGCAACCCTTCTAAGCTACTCTATTTCTTGGTTTCCTGATCTATAAGATGAAATGATAATATCAGTTTCAAAACACTTCTCTGAAGATTGAGTGAGATGAGGACTATGTAGCAGTGTGAGGCCGACGTGACTACACGTCACCCCAGGTTGCAATACCTTGTTTAGGGGCTGTTTCCCTCATTTAAAGGTAAGTTCCTGGGGTGCCAGAATGGTCTTTCCTGAACATTCTACGTACTTAAGGGCATAGTAGATATTTTGTGCCTGTTTAGGAATGGCTCTGAATTTCTACCCATTTTGTAATCAACCATGTTTTTTTTTTTTTTCCCACCAGGAATGCAGGGTGTTGATATCTGAGAGATTGCAGTTAGCAAATATGAAGCAGCAGGCAGTGAGAGAGCACCGGCCTTAAGCTGAGGTACGGAGAGAAGCCACCCTCAAAAATCTTTTTTTAAAAGGTTTATTTATTTATTTGAAAGAAAGAATTACAGAGGGGCAGAGGCAGAGAGAAAGGTCTTCCATCCGCTGGTTCACTCTCCAATTGGCTGCAACGGCTGGAGCTGCACCAATCCAAAGCCAGGATCCAGGAGCTTCCTCCAAGTCTCCCACACGGGTGCAGGGGCCCAAGGGCTTGGGCCATCTTCTATTGCATTCCCAGGCCATACCAGAGAGCTGGACAGGAAGTGGAGCAGCCGAGACTCGAATGGGTGCCCATATAGGATGCCAGCACTGCAGGTGGTGGTTTTACCTGCTACGCTACAGCATCAGCCTCCCTCACAAATATTATAGCTTTCCGGGCCTCAGTTTCCTTGTTTGAGGAATAAAGAGAATGATAGGTACTATCTCAAGATTCTTGTTAGAATTTACGTAAACTATGCTAAATGTGATGCCCAAGACATTGGCTGAGCAAGCTGTAGTTGTGATTACTACTGTCAACTTTAGAAATATGAGGCAGGCATGCGGCCCAAGCTTTAAGAAGCCGCTAGGAATACTGCACTCCATGTTCAAGTCCCTGCTCTGCTTCCGATTTCAGCTTCCTGCTAATACGTATCCTGGGAGGCAGAGGTGAAGGCTCAAGTCTTTGGGCCCCTGACACCCACGTGGGAGACCCGGATGGAGCTCCTGGCTCCTGCCTTGGCCTGGGCCAGCCCTGGCTGTTGTGAGCATCTGGGGAGTGACCCAGCAGATGGAAGAACTCTGTCTCTCTCATTCAAATAAGATGAAAATAAATAAATACATAAATATGTTAAATTCAACGTGCCTTAGCTCTCTCTGTCAGCGCCGGGATTGGCTGGGAGAGCTGGGGCGGGGTTGACTGAAGCCCCGCCCCTCCCGCAGCGTCCCGTCGTCTGGGCGACGCGGCGAGGCGGTGGTCGCAGGCTGAGTGACGCAGGACGGCGGGTCTCGGGCGCTCCTAGGCACACGCTTCCTCGGTCGGGGCGGCTTTGACGGGATGACGAGTGAGGAAGACGCAGAGAGCGCCCTCCCTGACGCCCAGGCAGGGGAGGAGAGCGAGCTGCCTGTTATCCAGCTCTGCGGGCTGGTGGAGGAGCTCAGGTACCGGCCGGCCGCCGGCTGCTGGGGCCCCCCTCCTCACCGTGGACCCTCCGCCCGCAGCACCCCGCCCCAGTCAGGGGGCGACTGAGAGCCCCCAAATGGGGAAGGGACTCGTCTTTGCCTCTTCATCTCATCTCGGCTGCCTCGGAGAGCCTGGCCAGGGCTGGGGGGGGGGGGGGGGACGGGGCAGGTGTGTGAGTCTGGGCGGGGGGTGTAGAAGGGGGTCTGGCGCAGACTGCTTAGCTGCCGACCCGGCAGGTTGGACCCCCTTCCAGTGCTAAGATTCTACGATGAAGTTAATATGGCAACAGGCTGGAAAGGAAGCTATTGAAATGGCTTTAATATGAGGGAACGTGGGTGTGAACCAGGTATAAGCATGGAGTCAGTGAAGAATGGCCCAATATTCTTTATTTTAGCAGTGTGTGTTGTATCTACTATAGCAAGTTAATTAGTTAGTAAGATCTCTTGGGGCCGGCGCCCTGGCTCACTTGGTTAATCCTCCGCCTGCGGCACCGGCATCCCATACGGGCGCCGGGTTCTAGTCCCAGTTGCTCCTCTTCCAGTCCAGCTCTCTGCTGTGGCCCGGGAAGGCAGTGGAGGATGGTCCAAGTGCTTGGGTCCCTGCACCCGCAAGGGAGACCAGGAAGAAGCACCTGGCTCCTGGCTTTGGATCGGCGCAGCGCTAGCCATAGCGGCCATTTGGGGAGTGAACCAACAGAAGGAAGACCTTTCTCTCTGTCTCTCTCACTGTCTGTAACTCTACCTATCAAATAAAAAAAATTTTAAAAAAAGATCTCTTGATGTCGTTGAGGTACAACTTACTGGGCTCACACAAAATATCCTGGATATGAAAGTTGAGGAGATGTTATCTCTACATCCATAAGCAGTTTAGGTCAGAACTGAGATATTATTACTGATAGCTACTGGTTTTATTTTTAAAATTTTTTAAGAAAAATATTTATTTATTTATTTGAAAGGAAGAGTTAGAGAGAGGCAGAGAGAGAGGTCTTCCATCTGCTGGTTCACTCTCCAAATGGCCGCAATGACTAGAACTGCGCCAATTCAGAGCCAGGAGCTTCCTCCAGGTCTCCTACATGGGTGCAGGGGTGCAAGCACTTAGGCCACCTTGTATTGCTTTCCCAGGCCATAGCAGAGAGCTAGATCGGAAGTGGAGGAGCCAGGTCTTGAACTGGCACCCGTATGAGATGCCGGCACTGCAGGCGGTGGCTTTACCTGCTATGCCACAGTGGCAGCCCCGCTACTGGTTTTTTGAATGCTTATTATATGCCATGAGTTTTGCATATATGTGACCTTATGTAATAATACAGCAACCCCAGGAGGTGGGTGAGAAACAAAGACACGAAGGTTAGGTCATTTCTCTATCTTCCTACAGCTAGTCAGTGATAGGGCTGGGCCTCAGGCTCAGGGGCAGCTCCCCAGACTAGCCTGGGAGCATGGTAAGTGCTGAAAAGCAAGCCACTGTCATGTGCTGTGCTTTCTGTTGAGCCATTCCCACTAATCTGAAAAGTCAGTCAACAGGAGTAAGCTCAGTACCAAATGAAAACATCAAAGCTGGTCACACACGTACACATTTACATACACATGTGTATATACACACGCATGCATAACATGTATGTTATATATGTGAGAAGTTAAAGAGGTCATCATGTTGGTGTGTGTAGGATAAATTAGTGGGTCATCTCTAGTTTAAAAACCATCATGCAAAGTTTTCCACAGGTTGTGATAAACTCCCTGCGGAGACTTTCATGTAAGGGGTGCCGGAAATCAAAGAGTGAGAAACGGAAACTAAGGAAAACACCTGGAAATTGTGTGTCCGTCACTTCAAGAATGTGACAATTCAGGAGGAATTTCCAGATGGTTAGATGGTGCTTGAAGATAAAACTGGTAACAACAATTTTCTTTTTCTTTTCTTTTCTTTTTTTTTTTTTTTTCGACAGGCAGAGTTAGACAGTGAGAGAGAGAGAGAGAGAGAGAGAGAGAGAGAGAAAGGTCTTCCTTTCCGTTGGTTCACCCCCCTAATGGCCGCTACGGCCGGCGCGCTGCGCTGATCTGAAGCCAGGAGCCAGGTGCTTCCTCCTGGCTCCTGTGCGGGTGCAGGGCCCAAGCAGAGAGCTGGACTGGAAAGGAGCAGCCAGGACAGGACCGGCGCCCCAACCGGGACTAGAACCCGGGGTGCTGGCGCCGCAGGCGGAGGATTAGCCTAGTGAACCATGGCGCTGGCCAACAACAATTTTCAATATAATGTCAGTGATTTGAACTAGGTGGCTCATTAAATATTTAAGAAAAATGTCAATATGTAAGTAAAAATTACTCTGTGCCAGGTGTGGTCCAGTAGGCTTTACATCTCTTGTTGCAATCCTAAAAGTAGGTGCTATTGTTCTTCCCATTTTATGGATGAAGACACTAAAGTACCAAGAGATCATGTCTCTTGCAGAAGATCATATGTGGCTAATAAGTGTTGAATATGAGGTATTTGAGATTTGAACTCCTACCCGGAGAACTTACCCAAGTATCCCTCTGTCTTGCAGCTATGGAAACTCTGCTCTCAAAACTGAGACAGAGATGTTTGAGAAATATTACACTAAACTGGAGCCCAGGGATCAACACCCCCCACGCTTATCAGATATTAAATTATCTGCAGCAGAATTTGCACAGGTACACAATGAAGATGGTGATTTTATTGTTTGTGCCCTTAAATGCAAGTGCTATTTGTGTATCTGCCATTGGTGCACCCTCGTTGGCCCAGTGGCCACAGCACTCTCTCCCTGATCTATTTTTGATTCTTCCTTCTCTTTCAAAGTTTCTCTTTCACGTGAGTGTGAAGGGAATTGGGTCCAGTTCATCATAAATTCTCCCCTGAATATCTCGGTTTATTTGAAAGCTCCCCTAAATTAGGAGACTCAGCAGTTCACAACACCCAGCCAGTCGTGTAAAGGGGAAAAGTGGGCTTGGTGTGGGCGTTTGTCTCAAATGACCTTGCTGTGTGGATCTATCCTCTGAGGATTAGACAAATTCTCCTTGAGGCCCATACATTCCCGGGACCTCCCACAGGTCACTTTTGCCTTAAAAACATAGGAAATCCAAGATTCCTGTCTGTCTGTTTTGTTGAACACTGTACCCCTAGATGCAGTTTCTCCTCTGTGCTCAGCTCAGGAAGCACCCAGCTCTGGGCTTCCACTGACTTTGACTTGGATGCTTGTCCACAGTGGCTTCATGGTCATTCCTCCCTTGAGGCATGCTTCCCTTATTTATTTTCAGTTCATTGTCAAACGCAGGCCCTTGCAGAGCCTGACAATGACTTGTAAAATGCATGTCACCTCAGGCCTAATACCCAGTACCCATTTGTCATGAGTTTATGCCCTCTGACAGTCATTGGGGTAATTGCTAGGCCCAAGGTATCATTCTGAAGCCTAGCCTGGAATGCTTTATTACTGATTCTGCTTTGACAATGGCTTTGTTTTTCTTGGGGGTTGCAGTTACGGGGCAGGCGAAGATCCAGGACCCGCACTGGTATAGACCGAGTGGTAGGCCTCAGTGTCGACCAAAAACTTGAGCTTGTGCAAAAGGAACTGGAAGACACAAAGGATGAAATAAGTCACATGAGGGCAAACGCAGAACGGGACCTGCAACATCATGAGGTATTCCTTTCTCTCGACGTAGGCTCTACCACCTGGGCTACCACTGCCACCTCATCAAGAAGTGCCTGAAGTATGGCCATGACATTGTTGACACTTCGGAAGAAACATGAGCAGGACTAGATAAATTGAGGGCCTGCCTTTAAGGAACTTACCACCTGCTTGGGGAGACAACAGATTTCAAACTTGTTTTTTAATGGAAAATTTTCTAAAATACACAAATGTAGAGATGAATTCAATAAACCCGAGTATTCAGCCCCAAGATATGTGTAGCCACTCCTGTTTCATCGATGTCTCAACCAGTTTTCCCCTCACCCCATTGAGTTATTATGAAATGCGTCCTGGACATATCACTTATCTCTAAATGTTTCAGTATGTTTCTAAGATGGCTTTTTTAAAAAAACGTAACCACAATAATGAGAAATATCCCTTTATTTATTTATTTGAGAGGTAGAGTTACAGACAGTGAGAGGGAGAGACAGAGAGAAAGGTCTCTCCTCCGTTGGTTCACCCCCCAGATGGCCACAACAGCTGGAGCTGCGCCAATCCAAAGCCAGGAGCCAGGTGCTTCTTCCTGGTCTTCCATGCAGGTGCAGGGGCCCAAGCATTTGAGCCATCCTCCACTGCCCTCCCGGGCCATAGCAGAGAGCAGGACTGGAAGAGGAGCAACTGGGACTAGAACAGGTGTCCATATGGGATGCCGGTGCCTCAGGCGGAGGATTAACCTCCTATGCCATGGCGCCGGCCCCAAGAAATACCCTTACACATTTACAATAATTATTTATTACCACCAGAAGTTTGAGATTTAAGTCAGTAAATTGGGTGGAAAATCCTTAAGTTACCCTTCATACATAGCATGTACCACCATGGTCTGTTCCTGTTGGTAGCCTTGTTCTGGCTTGATACATTGTGTGAAGTAAATTTCAAGTGCAAAGAGAGGTCATTATGGGCAATAGTGGTCAAAGAGGAATTTGTGAAGAGTTGGAGCTTTACATGGGACTTAGCATGACCTCAAAGGATTATGGTATTTTTTTTTTTTTTTTTTGAGCCATCTTCTGCCTTCCCAGGGGCATTAGCAGGGAGCTGGACTGGAAGCTGAGTAGATGGGACTCAAACCATTGCTCTGATATGGGATGCCAGGATCACTGGTGGCAGCTTAGCTTACAGTGCCACAATGCCAGGCTCTCCCCCGAATTTCAGATTTCAAAAGTCTGTTATTTTGTAAACTATTTTCTTTGGTATAACAATGTCGTTCTGTATCAATATATAGTGTACATACTCATTTATGACATCTTTTTCAAGTTCTAGAAGTATATAAGCATGCTGCTTTGTCTCCCATATTAATTTTTTTCTGCACAGCTATGATTCATTGTTAATGTATGTCATTTCACATTTTTATATAAAATAATTCTTAATGGATAAAATATTTCAGATATAGGAATACATAATTATTGAGATAGCCAAGATCCTGTTTTTGTTTTTTCTCCCTTTTTATGAATACTATAACTTTTTTGAGGATTTTAGTCAGTATTACACAGAGAGGAGAGGCAGAGAGAAAGAGAGAGAGGTCTTCCATCTGCTGGTTCACTCCCCAATTGGCTGCAATGGCTGGAGCTACACCAATCGGAAGCCAGGATCCAGGAATCTCCTCTGGGTCTCCCACATGGGTGAAGGGGCCCAAGGACTTGGACCATCTTCTACTGCTTTCCCAGGCCATAGCAGAGAGCTGGATTAGAAATAGAGCATGGGCTGGTGCTATGGTGTAGCGGGTAAAAGCCCTGGCCCGAAGTGCTGACATTCCATATGGGTGCTGGTTCTAGTCCCAGCTGCTCCTCTTCCTTTTTTTTTTGAAGATTTGTTTTATTTATTTGAAAGACAGAGTTACAGAGAGAGGTAGAGACAGAGATATCTTTCTAAAACTAAAAAGGAGCATTATGTTATGTGTTAAGACACAAGGAGGCAAGGCCAGCGTTGTGGTGCAGTGGGTTAAGCTGTAGCCTGAGATGCTGGCATACCACATGGGAGCTAGTTCCAGTCCAACCTGCTCCACTTCTGATTCTGCTCCCTGCTGATGCAACTGGCAAAACAGTGGAAGATGGCCCAAGTACTTAAGCCCTTGCACCCGCATGGGAAACCTGGATGGAGCAGTCTCAGCTGTTGCATCCATTTGGGAGTGAAACAGCAGATGAAAGATCTCTCTCTCTCTGTCTCCCCCTCTCTTTCTAACTCTTCCTATTAAGTAAATAAATAAATCTTTTTTAAAAAATTTTAAGACACAAGGAAGCATGGGAACTTATATATCCTTCGAGGATGTGTCCTTGAGAAACTCTGGAAACTTTTCTCCCTTTGTGTTGATTCCTCTAGGCTATCATCGAGGAAGCTGAAATTCGAGGGGCTGAAGTCCAGAAAGCAATACATGACTTTGAAAAAGATATTCTAAAAACCATATCCAAGAAGAAGGGGAGTATTCTGGCCACTCAGAAAGTGATGAAGTACCTTGATGACATGAACCGCCGGAGGGTAAGTTGGTCAGTGCTGAGGGCTTAGAAAGAGAGAATAGATGCCTACAGCGACGGCACAGACGTGATCCATGTGAAGCAAGCTGACTCCACGTGGTCCCCTGGAGGTGCAGGTTCCTCACATCCCCCAAGGTGTGTGCGCATGTGTACATGTGTTTTCAGTGCATGTTTATCATGGCTAAAATGAACCCGACAGGATGAATAGTAATAATATCTCAGATGGACTTCCTCTTTTTATTGCTGTTGTCTCAAGATCTGAAGTATTTTCTTGAGACAGGTGTGAGGCTAGGCTGGTTCAAGGAGCAAGGCAGGAAAATCTCATGCCCTTTGAGTTCCATTATTATAAGGAGATGGACTTTTGTCTGGCAAAAGGAAGTGAGGAGAATTTGGAGGAGGAAGGTGCTTCTTCATTTCCAGAGGTTTTATGGAACGTCAAGCTTTGGATTCCAGAAATATTCATGTAGGGTTACATAATTTACGTAATTACATAGGGTTACTAACCCTTAAACTGCCTTGAGAATAAAAGACCAAAGGACTATTAGATCACTTTGCCAGGAAAGGCTCCCACAGTAGTCCTATACCCCAAATTGTTTGACTTTAAAAGCAGTAAAAGATTTTCATGGAGTAGATCTGATTTCTGCTCCTTGGTCATGAATGAAACTCCATTGCAACACCAGCTTTGGTAGAAGGAAAAGGACCTGAAAATAAGTGACTGTATGTTAGGCCTCGAGGTTTGGACTGCAGCCCCAGGCCAACAACATTTCAAACCTACAGGGAAGAAGAACAGAAATGGATTAAAATAACGTTTTTCTTTTTTAGGATAATATGAAGGATAAATTACGTTTGAAAAATGTTTCTCTCAAAGTTCAAAGGAAAAAAATGCTTTTGCAATTGAAGCAGGTACGTGATTCTCTTTCTGTTTTTTTTTAAAATATTTATTTATTGGAAAGTTAGAGTTACACACAGAGAGAAGGAGAGAGAGAGAGAGAGAGAGAGAGAGAGAGAGAGAGAGAGAGAGAAAAGTCTTCCATCCGCTGGCCCACTCCCCAACTGGCTGGAGCTGCACTGATCTGAAGCCAGGAGCCAGGAGCTTCTTCCGGGTCTCCCATGTGGGTGTAGGGGCCCAAGAAGTTGGGCCATCCTCTACTGCTTTCCCAGGCCATAGCAGAGAGCTGGATCAGAAGTGGAGCAGGCAGGACTCGAACTGGTGCCCATATGGGATGCTGGCACTGCAGGTGGTGGCTTTACCCACTATGCCACAGCACCAGCCCCTCTTTCTCACTCTTTTAAGGTTACTGTGGTAGGCTGAATACTGGGTCCCCAAAGATGTCCATGTTATAATCCCTGGAATCTGTGAATATGGCTACTTTACATGGCAGAAGGATATTGCAGGTGTGATTAATTTAATGATCTTCAGATGGAGGGTGGATCCTGGATTAGGTGGGCCCCATGTACTTGCTCTTCTTATGAGATAGAGGCAAGAGGGTGAGAGAAGATTTGATAATGGAAGCAGAGATCAGAGTGATAAGCCCTTACAATGGAGGAAGGGCCATGAGCCAAGGAATATGGGCATCTTCTAGGAGCTGGAAACAGCCAGTGGCCAGATTCTCTCCTAGTGCCTCTGGAAGGAAAGCACTCCTGCCAACATCCTTGTTTTAGCCCTCAAACCCACTTCAAACTTCTGACTGCCAGAACTATAGGATAATGAATTTGCATTGTTTTAGTACTGTGTTTAGTTTGCTCAGCAGCAATAAGAAACTAATACAGTTGTGTGCAGGCAAATCTGTGGACAGCATTGGCATGAGCTTAACAGGCCCTCAGGGCATACTTGTTGACCCCTTTGAGGAGCTGGACAGGGCAGTACAGTTACACCTTTGAACAGGATCCTGATGAAAGGCAGTAATGCAAGGATGGCTCCAGGTCACTAGAATGTGAGATGAGGTTCTATCCTTTCCTAGTTCAATATTGTTTGTGTTATGGATACAAACTGAAAAATGAGCACTGATGACATGCATATCAGACGTGGCCACTGACAGCGATGCAAGATCCATTAGGAGAACTGACATGTTAGGGGACTGTTGCTTGATTGACTTGCAATCCAGAGAGGCCTCAACAAGCAGGGATGCTTTAATGACATGAAGTGACTAGGGGCAAAGATCGGACTCTCCACTTGGATCCCCCCAAATATCCACAGGTGTAGGGTGACTTAGACACAGAGGACCTGATAAAGTCAGCTCAGCTGGAGGTGGTGCTGTGGCTGAGGCTGCCCTCAAAAAAACACGGTGCCCAGACCAAGAAAGGGCTGGCCTTGCTCTCTTCTGTTCTGGGTAGTCCTGATCTGCAGTGTTGTGCCCAGTGTGAACTCTACCCTTGAAAGAGCCGGTAAACTGGAGCTCACATGGAGAGCAAGCCCATTGGAAAGGAAACTAGAAACTGCCTTGGAGGACCAAGGACTATGGGCTCAGGAGGCTCACGGCCACTGTCAAGCACTCAAGGCTGCTGAGGGAAGAGACAACACACAGATTGGAAGGGTGTGGAGGGCAGAGGAGGGGTGAGGGGAGGTAGGGATGGAGATGCCCCACAAGGAGATTTGAGTTCAGTGTAAGAGAAAACATTGCCCTTGTGGAACTACCCACACATCATGGGTTCCTGGTCCTCAGGGGTTTACCCAAACTTGGGGGTCTGGAAGAGGGGCTTTAGGCTGAGATAGAGACTGGATGGATGACCTTTAACCAAAAGTCACTGCTGCACAGGGATGACGGGGACATGGCTGCCCTCACGAGCTCATAGACTGGTAGGGAGTGGTGTTGTGAGAGAAGGCGAGGATCAGAACTGCTATACAGAGGCAGCAGGAACCAGGACCCTGTAGCTAAAGCATCCAGAAGCTCAGCAGAGAGGGATGGCCTGCAGATTTGGCAACAGGCAGAGCACTGGAGCTGGAGGGCGGGCATACCAGGGCTTAAAGTAATTGCTGTGTTGTTTGGGGAAGGGAAGGCAGATCCATCGTGGAGCTAGTGCAGCATGAGTAGAACGCAGGGCCTACCACAGATGAAAGATGGCATAGACCTGGCAGGCAGATGAATGGAGCGGGGGCCAGGCAAGGTCACTGACCTACCCACAGGGCAGAAATATCACATAATCAAAGGAGGGGGATTTTTGTGCTGCTTTTTCTGGGGTCTTCAGGCTTAAAAACCTTTAAAGGGCCCATTCCTACTCTTCCTTTGCAGCCCTGTTTAGGCATCCCCCTCCCTCCCCTCCCAGTGTGTGCTCCTTGAGGGTGAGGACACTATATTTACTCACACCTCTATCCCCAGTGCCCAGCATCACTCCTGGCACCAAGCAGCTGCCAATACATTTGTTGAATGACTGAGCATGACTGAGCTCCCAGATCTCACCACGAAAATGTGCAAAATGTGAGCCATGCCTTCGGAAGCCACAACTGAATGTGCCATCTTTTCCTCTTTCTGAGCTGTAGAAGGAAGAGGTGGGCGAGGCCCTCCACAATGTTGATTTTCAGCAGCTGAAGATCGAGAATGCTCAGTTTTTAGAGACAGTTGAAGCAAGGAATCAAGAACTGATCCGGCTAAAGATGGCCTCTGGAAACACCCTGCAGATGCTCAACACGTACAAAGTAAGACCTGCCCCAGGGGCTTCCCGCCCCGGCGTTCCATCCACAGAGAGGGCGCTGGGCACGCCACAGTCACTTAGAGTCTGTCACTGTGCCGCTGCCCCTTGGTTTCTCTTGACTCAACAAAGCCATAGCTCCTAAAATTCCCTGGATGCTTCCACAACCCTGATGCCCATGAGAGCCACCTGGGAGCTTTTACTTTAAAAAAAATAGCAATGCTGTAGTCCCACCTTCAATGGATTAAGGAGTGAGAGTTGTGCACTCTGTTTTGTTTTTAACTCCCCAGGTGATTTTTATGCAGGGTGTTTTGAGAGCTAACCACATTTAGGGCTTCATTTAGGCTTGTAGTAAGCACTTCACCACTTAAAACCCTGTACAGGAAAACAGGTTTAGCTATAAATCAGAAAACTACTGAAAAACTTACCAACCAAATACAACCCTTTGGGGAGGGAAAACAGGCACCATTAATTAAGCAGGGACTACGGGCATGAATGGAGTCCGTCCCCAGCAGCCCATGCCATCTGGTCACTGTGGTAGTGTCCCTCTGATTGCAGTAGTAACTTTGAGCTAAGACTGGCTTCTTTTTTTTTTTGGACAGGTAGAGTTAGACAGTGAGAGAGAGAGAGAAAGGTCTTCCTTTTTCCGTTGGTTCACCCCCCAAATGGCCGCTATGGCCAGCGTGCTGTGCCAATCCAAAGCCAGTCACTTAGAGTCTGTCACTGTGCCACTCTGTCACAGGTGCTTATCCTGGTCTCCCATGCTGGTGCAGGGCCCAAGCACTTGGGCCATCCTCCACTGCACTCCCGGGCCACAGCAGAGAGCTGGACAGGAAGAGGAGCAACCAGGACAGAATCCGGCGCCCCGACCAGGACTAGAACCCAGGGTGCCGGCGCCGCAGGCAGAGGATTAGCCTAGTGAGCTGTGGCACCAGCTAAGACTGGCTTTTACAGAACATTTGCAACCAATTGGATGAGAAAGACTAACAACTTTGAAACCCAATTAAGCAAAACTGATTTCTCCCCCTGAAATTCCATTCTTTTCATTGTAGACTTGTAACTCCAAAATATTATACTCAGTTATTATAATTTGAAATTCAATAAAAACCTTTGAAGGAGGTTTTTTTTTCCCTCTTATTAACATAAGTTACTACATAATATCTACAATTTTGTCTCTGAGTCTGCAAAGCATAAAGTGTTTACTACATATTACTTCACAGAGGTTTACCCACTCAGGCCTACTGCCTAGGTGGTAGTGGTGGCTGTGAGCTTAGGTAGCTCACAGGTAGGCTTATTTGACCCATACAGTGTAATTTTATTCTATTTTTAAATATTTAAAAAATATTTTATTTATTTATTTGAGAGGCAGAGTTACAGAGAGGGAGAGACAGAGAAAGATCTTCCATCTGCTGATTCATTCCCCAAATGGCCACAACAACTGGAGCTGGGCCTATCTGAAACCAGGAGCCAGGAGGGAGCTAAGAGCTTCTCCAGGTCTCCCATACGGGTACAGGGAACCAAGCACTTGAGCCATCTTCCACTGCTCTCCTAGACCATTAGCAGAGGACTAGCCAGAAATGCAGCAGCTGGGACTTGAACCGGCACCCATATGGCCACAGTGCTAATCCCGTACAGTGTCATTTTAAAAATGTGAATTTGAGGGCCAGCGCCACGGCTCATTTGGCTAATCCTCCACCTGTGGCACTGGTACCCTGGGTTCTAGTCTCGGTTGGGGCGCCAGATTCTGTCCTGGTTGCTGCTCTTCCAGGCCAGCTCTCTGCTGTGGCCCGGGAAGGCAGTAGAGGATGGCCCAAGTGCTTGGGCCCTGCACCAGCATGGGAGACCAGGAGGAAGCACCTGGCTCCTGGCTTTGGATCAGCGCAGCGCACCGGCTGTAGCAACCATTTGGGGGGTGAACCAACAGAAGGAAGACCTTTCTCTCTCTCTCCTCTCTCTCTCTCTCTCTCTCACTGTCTAGCTCTGCCTGTCAAAAAAAAATTGTGAATTTGAATGTATTTAGAGCAGGCTTGTGTTTTTCTTTCTTTCTTTTTTTAGAAATTGAAAAAAACTGAGGCTCAAAGATGCAGGGTATTTGCCAGATTGAAGCAACACGTTAATGACAGAGCTGGGGCTCCTGTTCCAGTGTGTGTCCCACCCAACTGCCATCCCTGGCATAAATAAGCGGAAAAATCAGACTGGCATTCTGCAATTTGTGCATGAGACACATCCCGCGGATCACCGGCTTTCAGCTCATTGCATCCGTCTTCAGTTTACCCAACCAGTTGTTTCAGGAAGAAGCTAACCCCCGACTCCTAGTCCCTCACTGCCTGGAGAGCTGGGGCAGCCATGCTTAGATCATCCTGGACCTTGAGCTTATGCTGCATGAGATCTGTCTGCCTGGTCTTGTGGGGTTTGGGAGGTGGAGATACCAGTTTATACAATGAAACTGCCAGTCGCAGGGCCTGAGCTCTTCAGGATGCTTCTAAACACAGGGGTGTGGATTGCTGGCAGCACCTGGACAACGGTGACACAGGCCACAGCGGGCAGGACACTGGAGTCCTGCTCCCAGCGGCCCTCGTGCCTAGAAGCCTGTTGCATTCGATGCTAAACAGATGGCAGTGTTTAAGCAGACACCCCACAGGCGTGCGGAGGTGGACAGACAAGGGGTGGAGGGAGAAGCAGCCTTGCTTCCTCAGCTCTGGGTCTCAGTCCTCAGGTGTCCCAGGGGAAAGGGAGGCAGAACAGCTGTGCATTGTGGGTTTGAATGGGGGTTGTCCTGGGGGTAACGCTTCACCTCTCGGGGTGAAGTCCTCCTATCCCCCAGCACTGGACACAGCGCCCTGCCAGCAGAGTGGCGTGACCTGCTCGCAGTTCAGGTGTGTTTGGCTGCAGTGACAGCAGCGGCCACTTAGACTTAACCATCAGACCCCCAAGTGTGAGACCTCGTTAAAAAGGTACAGAATAACTTTATTACCAAAGCAGCTTCCCTGCAGTAGGCCAGGCACGGGGCTACGTGCTAAGGGAACAGCACCTAGCACAAGACAGACACGGTCTTTTCTTCTCGGTGAGTTTCCTGAGTGAGCTGGAGTTGAGATGGCACCGTTTTCTCCGACTTTGTGCCCTCAGGCCCTGCCTGCTGGAGTGTGGTAGAATTAAAGTGTGGCTCGTTTACAGCTGAGGGGAGTCCCTCGTGGCTGACTGTAAACCAGTGACCAAATACCTTGTAGGTACAATTCCAGGGTGTCCCCCAGGCTCGCCCCCTGGTGTATCCACCCTGTGTAATCCCCAGCCAGGACTGTGAATAGGGTGGATTCTCTCATTAGGCCCTCTTCTGCTATGTGACTAGGTTTTATTTTGTGGCACAGTTGAACGAAAGCCAGGGAGGTCGTCCAGGTGGGCCTTACCCAATCACATGAGCCCCTTGCAAGCAGCACTGCTGTGGAAAAGGTGGTCAGAGGTGTGAAGTACAGGGCAGTTCTCTAGGTCAGATAATTCCCCGCTGCTGGGTGCAGAGTGGCCTCTAGGAGCTGAGAGCAAACTCCTGCCAGCAATAGAAAGAACACGGGACCTCAGTCCCACAGCTCCGGGGAAATGCATTCTTCCGGCAGCCAGGTGGCACCAAGCCCTAGAGGAGGACCTATTGCCCTGATTTCAGCCCTGCAGGACCAGGGGGAGAGGGAGTGCAGCCACACTGTGCTGGGGCCTGGGACCGCCAGAAACTGTGAGACAGTGACTAGGGGTTGCTGTGGGCACTGAGCCTGTGGTCACTTGTGACAAAGCCATGGAAAGCCAGTGCTTGCCTTTTTAGAAGCAGCCTCCTTAAGTGGCTGACATCTTGACTCGGCGTCACCGATTTAGCTCCCATCACAGCTGCGGGAAGACTCCGCCCCAGCAGAGCCCCTGAGTGCTTTGCCATAACCCTGCCTCTCCAAGTTGTTGGGCGAACATCTCTCCACCCTCCTTTCCTTCCCTTTGAACAGCTGGTTTGCAGCAGAGTCCTGCCCCTGCCTCCCTACCTGGCAGCTGAACCCCCTGAGCTGGCTCTCATTATTATTATAGTGCCTCAAAGAAGTGAGGGGTGGGGCCAGTATTGTGTAGCCTCTGGTGCCGATTTGTATCCCAGCTGCCACACTTCTGATCCAGCTTCCTGCTAACAACTTGGGAAAGCAGCTGAAGATGGCCCATGTGTTTGGGTCCCTGCCACCCTTGTGGGAGGCCCAGATGAAGCTCCTGGTTCCTGGCTGCAGCCTGGTTCAGCCCTAGCTGTTGTTGCCATCTAGGGAGTGAACCAGCAGATGGAAGATATTTCTGTCTCTCCCTCTCTCTGTAACTCTGACTTTCAAATAAATAAATCTTTTAAAAAGGGGGGACCTGGAGGAATGGGAAGAAGAATGTCCTCTCAGGTGCTCCCACACCCAGCCAGGTGGCTCCAGGCTCTTTTTCTCCATTTAATTGTGACACTGGAGGGCCTGCTCTCTCAGCTCCTTTTAGACTTTCCTCTCCTAGGCTCATTCCTTAGCTTGGAACATTCTCTTCCCTCTTCCCCAAGACATATCTGACTCAACTTTTCAGCTCTCTTCCCAGCATCCTTCTGCAGGAAAACCTGCATTTCCTGGCCCCTGTCCTGGTATTCCTACAGCCTGGCATCATTGGAGTTTGACATTTCTTCATGCAAAGATTTTGCTCCCTACCTATGTCCCAGCTGTGAGCTAGCCTCCTGGGAAGGGGGTAGGTGGTTTAACTGACCAGTGCCTGGGACAGGGCGGCTGGGTCTTAGGGTGTGTTGAGTGAACCCCCTGAAACCACTGGCTCCTTCCCTTGCCCAGTCTTCAGTGAAATGGAGCATATCCCAACTCCTTTGGCTAGCTTCATCTCTGGGAGAGAGAGTGCCCCAAAAGGGGCCCGTCTAAGAAGCAAGGGCCTTGGGGCACTGGTGAAGGGATAGTGATGCAAGGGAAGTCTGCCAGGAAACTCCTGCAGGAAGCCTCTCATACCAGCAGGCCCAGCCATATTCACTAATGGGGACAGTGGTGGAGCCCGTGGGCCATGGAATCACGCTGCCTGGGTTCAGATCCTGTCTGTGACTATGGACAAATTGCTTCATCTCCCTGAGGGTCAGTTTCCTCGCTTGAGAGCAAGCATGGTACTGGCAACTGAGGTGGTCCTGCCTCTGCATCCCTGTGAGGTAGCCAGGGCAGCTGATTGTTGAGGTTCCGCACGCACTCAGCACTGAGCTCAGCATCCCCTGTGGGAGTCTCCTTTAAGCCTCTCCACAACTCCGCAAGGGGACCGGGCCACATTTAGGGAGGTTCCAGGACTTGCCCAACGTTTCTCTTAGAAAACACTGGGGCAGGATTTGGGCACTGAGCAGTTGGCCTCTCCAGCTAAGGACAAGACCCCTAGGTCCTCCGCCCTGCCAGTTCCCCAGACACCAGGATTCTGAAACTCTAGACAGGCCCCAGGACCAGAATGGTCATGCATATCTCCTACTTAACAGAGGGTTAGCCATCCTTCTCCCCATTCTGAGAGGTCATCTTAGCTCAACGCTTGTCGTGTTGTATTTCAGAGCAAGCTTCATCGAGCAATGGAAATATATGTCAATTTGGACAAAGAGATCTTGCTGAGAAGTGAGCTACTTGACAAAATTCAAAAAGAAACCCTACAAGTGGAGGAGGTAGGAGTGGGCAAAATGTACCATTTCTGATGTTTGTCTCCTGTCTGCAAGGGCTCAAGTCCATGTCCACAATGATCCAACGTACCTTGGTTGTTTATCTAGGAAAGCCTAGATCATAAAAATCAAAATAGCTCTGGGCCACCAAAGCAGAAAGTGGCACTTGAAGACTTAAGACCTGCAGTGCTGCATTTTACTTCTGGGTTATATTCTAGAGTCAGCATACAAAATAAAACTCTCATGGAGTCCAACAGCACTCAAGAATTCTTTATTCTTAATTGGTGGGACCTTGGAGTCAGGAGCTGGGAATTCAACCCTGGCTCTCCAAAGTGGGATACGAGCATTTCAACCACTAAACACCTAATCTTATGACTTGCTTCCTTAACTTGGAATACCATACAGAGTTTGTTTTATAGTATTTATCAATACCTTGTTTCTTTTTATGCCTGAATAATATCCCATTGTATATATAGACTACATTTCATGTATCTGTTCATCAGTTCATGGGTGTTTGGGTTTTCACTTTTTGGCTATTATGAGTAATGCTAATATTCTTATAGAAGTTTGAGGTTTTTTTTTTTTAAGATTTATTTATTTGTTTGAAATGAGCAGAGTGACAGAGAGGGTGAGGTAGATATCTTCCATCTGTTGGTTCACTTCCCAGATGCCTGCAACATCCAGGGTAGGCCAAGCCAAAGTCAGAAGGCAGGAACTCCATCCAAGTCTCCCATGTGGGTGGCAGGAACCCAGGTGCTTGGGCCATCGTTTGCTGCCTCCCAGGTGCATTTGCAGGAAGCTGGATGGGAAGCTCAGGTTAGCTGGGACTTGTTAGGGAATGCGGGCATCCCGAGCAGTGGCTTGACCTGTTGTGGTGCCACAGCGCCTCTCCTCTTACAGAAGCTGTTATGTAGATGTGTTTTCTTTTGGACATGCACTTAAAAGTGGGTTGCTGAGTTACATGGTGTAACTCTATGTTTGACATTTAGAGAAACTGTCAAACTGTTTTTGCATAGTGTCTGCACCGTTTTCCAGTTCATTCAGCAATGTGTGAGGGTTCTCTTTTCTGTGCATTTTCACCAACACTTATTTCAGCTTTTAGGACAATGACCATCCTAGTTGTATGAAATGGTATCTCTGTGGTCTGCACTTGAATTTCCCTGATGACTAATGTTATTGAGCAGCTTTTCATGTGCTTATTGTCTACTTGTATGTGTGTGTGTGTGTGTGTGTGTTTTAAAGATTTATTTATTTATTTGAAAGGCAGAGTTATAGAGAGGCAGAGAGACAGAGAGAGATCTTCATCTGCTGCTTTTCTACCCAAATCTACCCAAATGGCCACAATGTCAGGAGCTGCGCTGATCTGAAGCCAGGAACCAGGAGCTTCCTCCAGGTCTCCCACATGGGTGCAGGGGCCCAAGCACCTGGTCCATCTTCTACTGCTTTCCCAGGCTATAGCAGAGAGCTGTATCAGAAGTAGAGCAACTGGGACTTGATCCAGCACCCGTTTGGGATGCTGGCACAGCACGTGGAAGCTTAATCTTTGTTCCACAGCGCCAGCCCCCATCCCCCCTTTTTTTTGAGAAATGCCTATGCAGGTGCTTTGTTCAGCTTTTACTTGAGTTATTTATATTTTTATAATTGAAATGTAAGAATTCTTTTTGTTTTTGAAAGATTTATTTATTTGAAAAGTAGAGATACACACAGAGAGAGAGAGATAGAGACAAAGACAGAGGGACACAGAGAGACAGAGATATCTTCTATCCACTAGTTTACTCCCCAAATGCCCGCAACAATCAGGGTTGGGCCAAGCCAAAGCCAGGAGCCAAGAACTCCATCTGATTCTCCAACATGGATGGCAGGGGCCCAGGGACTTGGACCATCTTCCACTGCTTTCCCAGATGCATTATCAGGGAGCTGGGTCAGAAGCAGAGCATCTGGGACTCAAACTGGCACTCTAATTTGGGATATTGGCATTGCAAGTGGTGTCTTAACCCACTGCACCTCAACAATGGCCCCAATAATTCTTTATATATTCTTGATTCAATCTCTTAGCAGATAAATGACTGAAAATATTTTCTCCCATTCTTTTTTTTTTTTTTGACAGGCAGAGTAGATAGTGAGAGAGAGAGAGACAGAAAGGTCTTCCTTTTGCCGTTGGTTCACCCTCCATTCTCCCATTCTTTATTTTCTTTTACTTTCTTTATGGTGTTATTTGCAGTACAAAAGTTTTTTGATGAAATCTGATTTATCTTTTGAGGTTGTGCTTTTGGTGTCATATTTGAGAAACCATTGCCTAACCCAATGTCATGGAGATTTGCTCCTGTCTCGTTTTAAAGAGTTTTATATTTTTAGCTCTTACATTTAGGCTTATGAACCATTTTAAGTTAATTTTTTTAAAATGGTGTGGGGGAAGGGGGCCAAGAGTTATAAGAAGAAAGGAGATGAGTATGTGTGAATGCTTTCAGTTTGTTCTATCAGCCTTATTATTTACCATTTGTGATTCCATTTCTTCCTGTGGATTTGAATTACCAACAGGGGTTACTTTATTATTCAAACACAATTCTATATTAACCTGCCTCCTTTGTACTGTAACTGTCAGATATATGTTTAAATGTTGTAGATTCCTAATATGTATTGGTTGTTTCATGCACTTGCTTTTTAAAATCAGTTAAGAGAAGAAATATGCAATTCTATTGTCTTTTAGAATTACCTAGATAATTACCTTCATTTTTCTTTTTTTATTTAAGATTTATTATTTAGTTTAAAGATTTATTTATTTATTTGACAGGCAGAGATACAGGGAGAGAAGGAGAGACAGAGAAAGATCTTCTACGTGCTGGTTCATTCTCAAATGGTCACAAAGTCCCAGGCTAGGCCAGGCCGAAGCAAGGAGCCTAGAGCTTCATCCAGGTCTCCAACATGGGTTCAGGGGCCCAAGCACTTGGGTCATCTTCTGCTGCTTTCCAGGCGCATTTGCAGGGAGCTGGATAGAAAATAGAGCAGTCAAGTCTCAAACTGGCACCCATATGGGATGCTGACACTGCAGGTGGAGGCTTAATCTGTGCCACAGTGCCAGCCCCTTATTGATTTATTTGAAAGTCAGAGTTAGAGAGAGAGGGAGAAACAGAGAGAAATCTTCCCTCCACTAATTCACTCCCCAACTGGCTACAACAGCTGGAGCTGGGCCAGTTTGAAGCCAAGAGCCAGGAGTTTGCTCTGGGTCTCCTTTGTGGGTTCAGGGGTCCAAAGAATTGGACTATCCTCCACTGCTTTCCCAGACACATTAGCAGGGAGCTAGATCAGAAGTGGAGCAAGCAGGACTTGACCTGGCACCCATATGTGATGCCAGTGCTTCAGGCTGGGGTTTTAACCCGCTGTGCCACAGCGCTGACCCGCATTTGGTTCTTTATTTAAAAAATACATTTTGGGGCCAGCACTGTGACATAGTGGGTAAATCCATCGCCTGTGGTGCCAGCATCTCATATGGCCACTCGTATGGCCCCTGCACCCACATAGGAGACCAGGAAGAGGCTCCTATCATTGTGACCATTTGGGGAGTGAACCAGCAGATGGAAGATCTCTCTCTTCTCTTTCCTCTTGTGGGTGTACCTCTACCTCTCTCCATAACTTTCAAATAAATACAAATGAATCTTTTTAAAAAACAACACAAGAGTTGCTATATTAAGGCTGGCACTGTGGCACAGTGAGTTAAAACACCCCATATGGGCGCCAGTTTGAATCCCAGCTACTTTGTTGCTGATCCAGCTCCTTGCTAATGTGGAAAATGGCCCAAATGCTTGGGCCCCTACACACACGTGGGAGACCTGGAAGAAGATCCTGGCTTTAACCTGGCCCAGCCCTGGCCGTTGCAGCCATTTGGGGAGTGGACAAGCGGAGGGAAGATATCTCTGTCTCTCTCTCTCTCTCTCTTTCTTTTTCCAAAAAAAAGATTTGATTTATTTACTTGAAAGGCAGAGTTACAGAGAGGCAGAGGCAAAGAGAGAGAGAGGTCTTCCCCTGCTGGTTCATGCCTCAAGTAGCCTCAATGGCCAGAGTGGGCTGATCCAAAACCAGAAGCCAGGAGCTTCTTCCGGGTCTCCACACAGGTACAGGGGCCCAAGGACTTGGGGCTCTTCCACTGCTTTCCCAGGCCACAGCAGAGGGCAGGATAGGAAGTGGAGCAGCCGGGACTGGAACTAGTGCCCACATGCTCCAGCTTTACCCGCTATGCCATAGCAACAGCAATAAAGTCTTTAAAAACAAAAAGAGCTACTATATTATCTAAAATATTCAGCTTTCAACAAAAATTATGAGATAAGAAACGAACAGGAAAATGCACCTTAGGGAAAAACAAAACAAACTGCCTTTGAGGGGGTCCAGATTTTCAAAGAACCAAAGGAAGATATGTTTACAAGAATTAAAGGAATACATGATGATAATGTCTCATTAGGTAGAGAATACAATGAAGAGGTAGAAATTATTTTTTTAAAGATTTATTTATTTATTTGAAAGAGTTACACAGAGGCAGAGAGAGAGAAAGGGGTCTTCCATCTGCTGGTTCATTTCCCAAATGTCCACAATGGCTGGAGCCAGGCCAATCTGAATCCAGGAGCCAGGAGCTTCCTCCAGGTCTCCCACGTGGGTGCAGGGGCCCAAGCACCTGGTCCATCTTCTACTGCTTTCTCAGGCCATAGCAGAGAGCTGGACTGGAAGTGGAGCAGCCAGGATTCAAACTGGAGCCCACATGGGATACCAGCGCTGCAGGCCAGGGCTTTAACCTGCTGTGACATAGCACTAGCCCCCGCCCCCCCATATGATAACTCTTGATTTTGATGTCTCCCCAACCCCTTTTTGGCTATTTTTGCTTGTTGCTTGTTTAGTGACTTGGCTGCACTGGATCAGTAAGGTTGGCTTTCCCTGTCGTTGGTAGGCTCCAGCGTTGCTCCTCAGCAAGGGCAGCCTTGGTTTGCACACAAACTCTGTAACAGCTCTGGATGGTGGCA